ACATAGAGAGAATAGTGAAGAAGAGGTTACAAATTTTTGAAACTGCATCCACAGTAAGGAGAAAGGAAAGGCCTGATGTTATCTTAGGTGAGTCATTGGTTACACATACGTCGGTTATGTTAGCTTTTTTTTAATAACCAACATTATACTGCATCACAGCCTAAAATGATATTTTCGTAGGCTTGCCTCTTAATTCTAGAAACAGAATACTCGCTATAATTCTACTGCCGTTGATTGTGAAATAAGGCAGAGCGAAAATATATCTTAAGTTGTATTTTATTTGTATGTTATCCTTCTGCCAAGGGTATTTTTTGAAAAGGTCAAACTCAGTTGACGCTTAGAATCTTAATTATTTTCTTTCTTCACAAGCTTTTTGCGAAAGAACATGCGTAAGGTAACCAACAAGTGAACGTTTTTGGTATTGTTTCGCTTTACTCAAGAAACTGTATGGTTATCGAAAACATCTGCATTCACATTACGGTAATGTGGGGTGACATGCATTCGTGCGTCAGACCACTAAAGAATGCAGATTGGATCAGGTAACATTTTGTTGAACCAAATCGAAATTATGACTCCTACTGTTTTAACATTCTGAAACACAGCTGTATACATTCTCCTTCTCCTTCATATTTTCTCATTTCTTTCTCTTCACCCTAAACATCAATTGATAAACGATGACATCAATTCAGTTGAAATTTTCTTTCGCATTTCAAAATGCATTACTTCATTGATCCCATAAGAAACATTTGTTATCGTAATTTCTACAGGTTTTGAAAGCAAAGTAGGAAGCGTGTCATCAATTATCCTTGATCATAAAAGAGAGAGAAGAAATGTTCCCGCAGGAACAATAACTCTGCGGCAAGTCCGCCAGGAAATCAACAACAAGTTCAATCAGTCCTGCAATGTAAACAACAAGATATGTCAGACAGGACCTCCAGGTCCTCCAGGTGCCCACGGGTATCCAGGGTACAAAGGAGAAAAAGGAGCCACAGGGAAAACCGGCTCAAGAGGCCGTCCGGGACCAGTCGGGGCCCCAGGCGCGAGTGGCAACAGAGGACCTTTGGGACCTCAGGGAGTAAAGGGTGACAAGGGCGACAAAGGGTCCGTTGGGGCACCCGGGATAAGAGGAGAGACTGGAACAAAGGGTCGTCAAGGACAACAAGGATCTATTGGCTTTAAAGGAAGCAAAGGCAGCAGAGGATTGGTTGGTATTCAAGGACCAAAGGGAGAGTGTGTTGTTCCACTGAAGATCAGAGTATATCCAGTATCTCAGGAAGTGTTTGTGAACGAGCCTGTAATATTTTACTGTTGGGTTCAAGGCCATCTTTCGTCCAAGATAACGTGGCGTAAACTTGGAGGTACTCTATCTGATGCTACTGTGGAAGATGGTGCGCTTCGAATAAGTAGCGTACAAAGGTCACATGCTGGGTCATACATGTGTACAGGTCATACTGGTTTGGGAATGTTCCAAATATTAAGCAGATTGCATGTAAAAGGTAGGGTCTTTCACTTTTGAGCGATTTTCAGCTTTTGCATTCAGTTACAGAATAGGTAATGCCCCCAACATAATCATCATGGTTATTCAGGTCTATGAATCAAGACTTTTCTACAACCAAGAAAATATAAACTGAATATAACTTTTTAAGATCTTCACCAAGCTTGCTTTGTGCCTGTTAAATTGGTTTTTTTCTTTCTTTAGAGCCACCTAAATTTACCAACAGGCCCCCTACAGTGGTTGGTGTAATTCCAGGAACTAATGTGACCCTCTGCTGCGAGGCCTCAGGCTCTCCTCGTCCAAACGTGGAATGGTTCCAGGCACAAAAGGCTTCTGTCTCATTTCCCGTTTTTCAGGAAGATGGATGTCTTCTGATTAAGATGGTTAAAGAAGATGTAGATTTCATCTGCCGGGCTAAAAACAGCTTCGGAATGGCAGAGACAACAACGACGGTGATTGCAGAGATATTTGGAGGTATTATTTATTACTTTTGCTACAAGGCTTTGAAAATATGTAATTGGAAGGTATTATCACTTGTCTTAATAGCGCGATATGTTTGTTGAATGGATCCAGCTTTTAAAAAAATATCCCAAAACCGCACTTGGTCAGCTCATGGTATAGAGCGTCGAACTGCCGTGTGGAGGATCGAAGGTTCCACACTCAGGATCTTAAAATAACTGAGGCGAATGTGCAGCCGCTATCATGACATCTGCAAGTAGTTAAACATTTTAGTCCTCTCGGATAAAGACGATAAACTCCTACGTCTCTCTGTACTGGTTAGCAGGGGACGTTAAAGAACTCACGCACTTCTCGCAAAGAGTAGCGAACATATCTCCCGGTGTTTTGCTCTGGCCTTGTTATTGTTTATACAAACCCTATTTAACAAGCTTTAAAGCTGAACTGGGCCAACAAGTCTAAGTATCGCAA